GGGCGGGCCAGTCCTTTATAGTGCTGGCCCGTGCAGGAGGCTGGCCGTGCCAATGCCTCCTTGGCCTAGACCCTGCGGAAGCTTCCAGGCAAGAGCTTGGAAGTTCCCTGAAGTTTCCCTGTAGGGAAACAGGCTGGGGCCTGTAGGCCCTGTCAGAAGGAAGCTTCCAGGCAAGAGCCTGGAAGTTTCCCTGTAAAGAAATAGGCTGGGGCTTGTAGGCCCTGTCAGAAGGAAGCTTCCAGGCAAGAGCCTGGAAGTTTCCCTGTAGGGAAACAGGCTGGAGGTCCGGGACGGGCCGTGCAGGGCCCGTGTGGCTGCACAATATGCCACACCCCCCCCTCCTTGAAAGACCGAGCTTACCGACGAGGGCGAAGCTGTCTGTCTGAGGGAGGGACCACAGTCCGGGTGGGAGGGGCAGGTCTTGGAGGTCCCTTGGCTAACCTCTGTCGCTCGTAGTGAGCGTAGATCAGCGGCGCAGACGCTTTCAAATCTGCTCCTGAAATCCACCGAGTGTCGTCGGGATCGCATGCTCTGAATGTAACTTTGTACTGGCGCGGCTTGAGTGCTTGGAAAGCTTGGCGAGCGTCGTCATCGAATACGAATGGCACCTTTGGCGATTGTAGTCTCGTCAGAGGTGCGGCAATCCTTGAGTATCCGATGATGAAACGTTGATAATAGCCTGCCAACCCCATGAATGAACGAACGTCCGTGGTGTTGGTGGGCTCGGGCCATACGCGGATGGCCTCGATCTTCTCCGCAAGCGGACGGATGCCTTGCGGCGTCACAGTGTCCCAAGTACTCCAGCTCCTGCTGTGCGAACTCGCACTTGTCGTGGTTTGCTTTGTACTTGGCCTGTCGTAGCCGCTCCAAAATGGTGCGCAGGTGTTCCTCATGCTCGTCCAGACTCCGGCTGTAAACCAGAATGTCGTCGAGGTATATAAGTACGAAACGATCCAGCATGTGGCGGAACTCCATCGTCATAGCCGCTTGGAAAGTGGCTGGGGCATTCGTAAGGCCAAATGGCATGACCAGCCATTCGAAATGCCCATACCGAGTCTTGAACGCGGTCTTGTAGCGATCCTTCTTGCGAATCTCGAGTTGGTGGTACCCTGACTTGAGATCCAACTTAGAGAAGTACTGGGCGCCGCCCAATCGCTCGAGAAGGTCGTCGATGCGTGGGAGAGGGCCGGCGTTCCTGATCGTCTGCGCGTTGAGCTTGTGATAATCGATGCACAACTGCAAGTCCTTGTTCTTCTTTTGGACGAAGAGAACAGGAGCACCGTATGGCAATGAGCTAGGCCGAATCCAGCCTTTCTCTAGAAGGTCGTCGAGTTGTGCCCGAAGCACACTTAACTCTTCCTCGCTCATTCGATAGATGCAATGGCGCGGAGGTACGGCCCCGTCCTCGAGGATGATCTCGTGGCGGATGGGTCGATCCGGTACTACTCCATGCGGGTCTTCGAACACGTCGCCGTAGGCGTCGAGAAGTTTGGTGATGCGTGGATCCGAAGGTGAGTCCGTCGATGAAGCGTCATGTGGCGGGAGGGCGTGGAGAAAACACACCCCATCTCCTCGATGTCGTCTCTGATGATGGAAGCTCGCATGCTTGCGGCGGATACCACGTGGCAGCTGATCGAAGGATGAGGAGAAGGCACCGTGAACGTCAATGGGTCGAGCTCTTCAAGTCTTGACCATGACGTCGAATCCCCGGCGATAGATTGCGGCGAAGCTGCCGAATCGGTTGCCGATGGTGATGAAACCGTGCATGCGGTGGACTGTTGCACGTGGAGCGGTTGGTCCAGCGGTGGAACCAAGTGGACAGCATAATCCTCGTAAGTATACCGAGGACTTGCGACATTCGCATCCTCCCCAGATGTGCAGGAGGCCGCTAGCAAGGCGGCCGAATCTGGCGAAGTAGAAGGTGGAGTCGCCTCACCTTCCGCGGAGCTCAGTTTCCCGACCTGAGGCGGGGTCGCACATCCTCCTTGCCCTGATCTTGGCACAGGGAGGTCTTGTGCTTGGTGCTGTTGCACCAATAGCAGCTGCCGTAGCGGCCGCGGACCTTGTACCCCGCCTCGGTCAAGCCAAACTTGACCCATGGAAACTGTCCTGGCTGTCCATTTCCGGCCTGCGATGCGGATTTCGCCTTCCCATTGTTACGGAACTTGTAGGTGCTTCGCGGCTGGTCAGCGGCCACCTGATCTCCGTCACTTGATACTGGAGTGGCTGCTGGGTTATCTCCACTGTCCTGCTGGACTGCAGTGAAGTGCTGCTGTCGCGGACCAGTTCGTGCCTTCTCCACATAGGTCGGCTGCCATGTTGATTTCTCGTGTGCAGCTGACCTCTTGGTCTTGATGATCTCCCTTGCTTTGTCAATGATCTCCGCGAAGGTTGAGTACTGCTCGCGATCACCAAGAGCCTGACTCAATGCCGCACAGGACCTGTTGTAGAACTCACGGCGTAGATGCTCGAATGGTAGGTTCAGATTGGGCACAGCCGCAATCTTCTGCCACTCCGTGAGCCAGTCCCGTGTTGCTGTGTTGCCCTGTGACATGGTGAACAAACGGTTGATGGCGAGTGTCGGCGCGTCGTCGACGATGAACCGCTTCTTCCACAGCCGTGTTAGTTCCTCCCATGTGATTACGTCCTTCAAGTCTGGTATGTCGACGCCCTGTCTCTTATACACATCTAGATGTGTATAAGAGACAGG